TACAAGCTCCCAAGTTTTATTCTTCTCAATCATTGACAATTCTTCTTCCATTGCTTTTACCCAAGCCTTGTCTTGTCCAGCTTCTTCATATTTCTCAGGTTCCACAATACAAAGGTTGCACTGTGCCATAATGTCATTTATGCTTCTCCATTTCACTGGAGTATGATCATAAGGCTAAGAGATCTTTACAGATTCATGAATGCTGCTTTCTTGTTCTTCAATATGAGAGGGAATAGAAGAACTGGAGGCACTACCTTCAAACTCACTCAATTCATGTGAATTCTGAATGTAGGATACAGCAACATGATTCTCTGAATTTTCATTCCAATTTTAGATCATAGTTTCATCAAACAACACATCTCTTGACAAGATTAACTTCTTAGTGCATGGATCAAACACTCTGTATCCCTTCTCACATGTAGCATATCCAACACACACATTTGACACTCTTAGCATCTAGCTTCTGTCTTATCTCAGATGGTATATACACATAATAGATTGATCCAAACACTTTTAGATGACCAATTCCTGGTTTTCTGCCACTGTAGGCCTCAAATGGTGTTAGATTATCAAGTGCTCTTGTAGGTGATCTGTTTAGAATGTACACTGCCGTGTGTACTGCTTTTACGCATAGAAAGTACGGCAAGCTTTTATCATGAAGCATTGCTTTGGCCATTTCTACAACTGTTTTATTCTTCCTCTCCACTACTCCATTTTGCTGTGGAGTATAAGCCATAGACATTTGTCTTTGTATTCCTTCAGTCTCTAAGAATTGGTTAAATTCATTTGATACAAACTCACATCCTTTGTCACTTCTTAAGCACTTTACTTTGAAACCACTTTGTAATTCTACCATTGCTCTAAACTTCTTGAAACAAGTTTGAACCTCAAATTTCCATCTTAGGAAATAAACCCATGACATTCTTGTACAATTATCAACTACAAGCATGAAGTACTTATTCCCAGCAATTGATTCATTTTGCATAGGACCACACAAATCAGTGTGCACAAGCTCTAAAGGACTACTTGCTCTCCAAGCTTGCTCTTTTGAAAACCAATCACGATGTTGTTTCCCAAACTGGCATCCATCACATACACCATCAACATTTTCAAGATGTGGAAGACCATGTACCATTTCATTCTCTCTGAGTTGTTTAAGGCTTCTGAGATTTAGATGTCTTAATCTCTTATGCCAAATTCAAGTATAACTTGAATCAATGCTAGCTTTCAGAGCAAGTTGACTGTTTTTCCACAGAGAAAGAGGATAACATCTATTTTCCTTCTTCTTAACTTTGATGACAAGATTATCAAGAGAGGGTCCATCAAATATACTACACATGCCTCATCCAAACAAGAGATAGTATCCATGCTCATCCATTTGTCCTACACTGAGCAATTTTTCTTTCAATCCTAGCAAGTGCATGGCCTCCCTAATGTACTTCTTCCCTCTGTTAGTGTCAATTTCCAAAGAACCCATTCCAGCAACATTTACTAATGCACCAGTGGGCATTTGTACCTTTCCAGCAATATTTGTCTTTATATCAATAAGAAGATTAGCATTCCCTGTCATATGATTGCTACACCCATTGTCTATGTACCAGTTACCATTGACATTTGTCTATGAAATTGCATAATTAGCATAGAACAAATTTCCTGTCACTTCCACTTGATTTACAGAATTTGCCTTTTGCACCATCTTTCCTGCAGTGCATTCTCTAGCCCAGTGACCAAACTTATCACAATTATAGCATTTGGGCTTCCCCTTATATCTACACTCACCAAAATGGAACTTAAAGCATACTCTACATTGTGGTTTGGTACCCTCCTGACCCATTAATTGTGGCTGATATGAATTTGATGTAGGACTATTGAAATGTTTCTGTTGAAACCGAGGCTTTGAATCCCATTTCTTCTCCTTAGAACTCCAATTCTTCTTAAATTTCGATGGACCAGATTTAGTCTCACTCATATTTTACCCTTTTGGACTCACTGAGAATGATGCAAATGCCTTCTCAGTGGTATCAACATTATATAAATTGAACCGTTGTTCTTGACTCTTCAAGATTGCAACTACTTCCTACAATTCTACAATCTCTAGACACTTTGTGTTTTCTATAACCAAGCAAATAGAATCATATGGTTTACTCAGACTAATTAGAACCTTCTGCACAAGTTTCTCATTAGAAAGAGATTCACTAAATGTTCTCATCTGATTAATTAGTTCATTCAGTATTGTAAGATAACTAGATATGGACTCATCATCTCTCATTCTAGCATACTCAAATTCCCGTCTAAGATTCTGAAGTTTTACAGATCTAACCTGATCACCACCATGGTATTCGCCGAACAAGAAATCCCATGCCATCTTAGCTGAATCAGCATTAGCAATCTGAGGGAAAATCTGATCAGATACTGCATTTTGAATGATTCCTAGAGCCTTCGCATCCTTCATGAACACAGCAGTCATTTCTTCATCGATTGCATCGTCCGATGACCCTTCAGCTTCCTTTTTCTTCTTCTTCGAGTCAGGGGTTGTAATCCCTTTGTCCACCAGATTCCATAACCCAAACGATTTGAAGATCGTTACCAGCTTAATCCTCCAAAACTCGTAGTTCTCACCGGAGAAAATTGGGGTTCTCTCCTCCGAGGTTCCAGATCCAGACATCTTGGTCCGACTGTTGATTTTTCTCCTCAAATGAAACTCCGGCGGCCTTCACTGAGCTTTGACTTAGCTCAGTGACTTCACAGCTTTACGCCCAGATTCAGTTGATCGAAACCGGCTCTGAGGCCATGTTAGTATTTGATAGAGTTAATTCTAAGGAAGAAGAGAAGATGAATTGTTTAGGAAGAAAAACAGGGACAGAAGAACGTGGTTGTTTCTACTTCTGCAAAGTCACAGAGGAATAACTTTGTTTTCATTAATTGTCTCTCTCTCTCTCTTGCACATAACGTGCAAAGAGAGATATAAAGCTTTTACAAAACTGAGCTGGATCAAAACAATTAAAATAGATCTCAGCCACTCATTTAGCTAATAGCTAAGATCAACACACATGGCACTCATGGCCTTTTATATCTATATACCCTCTCACTTAGTATTTAACATAAGTGCATACACATATTAACATCACAACTTATTTCTAATCAGCTTTAGACTTATACTTAAACAGTAACCTTGTTGGTCAAGTTAATTGGCTTCAAATACAACCATTTCATCTGCTAACTTTCTAGTTTGTTTTCACATACAAGCTGTTTAAAACTCTTTATTTCTAATTGTGGTTTAGTTGTTAAATCATTGGGTTATAATTCTGAAAGAATTTTCTTTTACGATTGTATTAAGTTTTATGAGGTTGATGTGAGATTATGGTTTACAGATTGTGCCTCGCAAAAAAGGGAGACTTTGGCTAAATTGAACTCCATAGCTTAAATTTGCTTTGTTTACTGTTTAACCTTATTGTGGATGCAAATTTTCTCCTCCTCGATCTTGGACGATTTTGCACCTACAAAACAACTAGCACCTTAGGTTAAGGCCAAAAAGCCTCACGCGCCCACGATGAATGGGGGGGCTTTGGCTGAAGAACCTCCAATGCCAAAGTTAAAATTTTAGAGAGAAATAGTGTTTAGAGTATTTGGGATTTTTTGTAAGAGAATTGGAATGAGTGTTTGGCGAAAATGAGAGCCTATTTATAGGGCTAGGGTTCTTGATTTAATATGATTTTGGGAGTTATGTGATTAATTGACTAATTAATTTGGCAAAATAGGATTATTACCAAATGAATTAGCTAACTAATGGGATGAATAAGCAAAGTATGGCCAATTCCTTTTCTAGCAATAGATGGCTGGCCATTTAGTGCATATTTGGGGATATTTGGTGGTAATTGGGATTTTATGAAATAATTAGCTAATAATTCCCTATTTATCTTAGCTAATTATTATCATAAAAGGGAAAGATATGGTAGAAAAGGTAGGAAATAAAAGGAGATGGATTTTCCTATAAATAAATAGGGGATCCTTTGGGGGAGTGGGTAACCGGCCAAAAGAGGTATTTTTTGGGTGTGATTGGTGATTTAATTGGTTGATTAATGAATTTAGGAATTAATTCATTAATTAGCCAATTAATCTCTATTTATATGGAACAATTTATAGGTTATGAAGTAATTACCTAAAATGAGGATGGATGAGATAATTTGGAATTGGTTACCTTTTTTGGGGCATTTTTAACTTGGTTGAGGATGATTGTCTACTGCTCGCGCGTAGAAACTTGGTACGCCTCAAGGGTATTTTTGTCATTTTTACCCAAAAATCCACGTGTCGCCTTGTGATTATTTTTTGCTCCACACTTATTTTATAGGATTATCAGAATTCACCAAATTATTGAAACTTACCTTTTGTCTTCTTCATTCTTCTTATTCATGATGCTATACATAAATTATATGATTTTCCAGGCATCCAAAACATCATCATGTAGATTTGATATATTTTTTTTATATATATACAATAAAATTGGGAATATTAATCATATTGTTCACTCATATCATAGCACCACACATCGTTGGGTTATGAGTACACAGAAAAAGTTCTCATGAAAGGCGTAAAGCCTATTACAAGATAATATTAGTTGATAATGTTTTTCAAGGAGATAAATTTGAACAAAGCAAAGCTACACTGCTTATCAGATTCTAGAATTGTACGCTTAGTTTTATCTACATATCGATACAGATCAGCCAAATATCTTTCAATTAGTCTTACGGTATAATCACTGCCTTGTAAAAGACAAACTTGATCTCAGAGAAGGAAGCAAAAAGAGCAATCGACAAAGAGAACCCTAATATGCATGTAATTTGCATGATTTAATGCCAATCAGAATTTTCAATTTGCATGAGAAGGGTGCTTTTTTACCACATTTTCTTCTATAAAGATTGCAGATTTTATCTTCTGAAAGCCCGAAACTCACAGAAACAGAACGTTGTGAAAAAAGAAACATGTTTACATATATATGCAAAAGTTCTTACAAAAAGGTAAACTAGAAATTACATCCTTTAAACTCTGAAGGATTTTCTGCATTTCATAATACATGCAAGGGTTCTAACCGTTCTCCAAGTCTTAACTGTACATGCAATAAGGAAAGCATGAGTTCTAATTACTTCACTAAATTAATACACTCTCCAACTACTAAAGATGAGATTCGATCTTCAGTATGCCTAACATAATACGTCAAATCTAATAAAACAGTTAAGATCAACACGATGAATTGCACAATTAAACCTAGCGTGTGATGTCAGACATACTGAAAATCCTCTCGAGAACTTTGATCATCAGGGTACCAATTACATGTAAGTCTCTCTCCATATCTTTACCTTGTGAGCCTACTTCAGCTGTATCGACCTGCAGCCATCCACTTTTGCAACATTAACTCCCTATAAAACTTGTCTATAAATTCCTGGGCTGCCTTGTCCACATGGTAATCCTCCTCCTCATCACTACTCAACGGTAACAAAGGCTCCCACTCCGTTACCCTCACCAGCGCCCGCCTCACAATTGGCAGCGGCTCCACCACATCACTGCCGCGATAACTCGCTTTCTTCCCCCCATGGACTGTCGCCAATGCATCCTCACACATCATTGGCACATAAACTCCCCTCCGCGAATGCTGCCTAACATACCGCCCCTTGTACACCTTGCCGGATTGACATGGAGGAGTGTAGGATGACCTGCGCGGCGGGCTGCTGGTGCAGCTGAACTCGTACTCTAATGGGTATACGAACGATGTTACTTGTACGTCGTCCGACTTGCAGCTGAGCTCAGTCTGATGACGGACCATGAAATCATTGAAAGACTTGCCTAAGATCTTCCCATGTTTCATCATCGTCAGCTTTTTCTTGGAGACCCCCTTTTGTAACGTGAACAAAACTAGACGTACCATGTTTCTTAGTTTCTTGGCTATCACCGGTGTATTTGTAGGTTCCATATTTAGGGTTTCCGGAATAGGGAAATTTTCAGAGGCTAAAAAACTTAGAGGCAGAGAGAGATCATAGAGGTTATGAGTTCAATGAGAGAATAATGAAGATAGGAATATATTTAAAAAGCCAAACAGAGTAGAACGGGACCAAAAATATTTTATTTGTTTTTCCTATATTTTTATTGGGTTTTTCTTCTTTTTCTCATTTTTGGGGACTAAAGTCTAAAGAGTGTATTTTCCTATTTTTCTATTAATGTTGATAATTATAACATACCATGTGTAATCATTGCTTTTTGTTTTGTTTTGTACTAATCTTTTTCTTTTTTCTATTGGGGGTACTGTTTTTCTTTTGTTAATTTGCATACGTTGTCCCTACAAACTAGTGCATTTGAACTTTTAATTAAGATTTTAATGTCTCAAATCAACTAACTGCCATCCATCTAATTGCCCCCATTGATTTCAATCTTGAGTTGTGCCTTTCTATCTTAACCGTTCAAATATTTTCAAATGAAAGTTTTGCTTTAAGCCACCGTTACATATTTTATACAAGGGCACATAGGAAAAACAGATTCTTTTTAAGGACACTTTGGATGCGGCCCTAGTTATCAATATTCTTTAACTGAGACATTGTTTGTTTTTAGTTTTTGATCAAAGTCCCTGAATTAATGTAATAATGTAAGTTACTATATTTTTTAATTAAAAATTAAAAATTAAAATTAAAAATTGAAATTTGTATTTGTTTATATTAATGAGATTTTAAATATAACTCTTAATTTGTGGGATTAATAATAATAAAATATAAATTAATACTCTCTATTATATTGTTTGTGTGTGTGTGTGTGGGTACATTCATCAAAATTAACAAAAGAAAAAAATTATTGTACCAAAATATGGATATATTCTTCAAAACACAGAAAAAAAAGAAGAAGATATTAGGCTTAATAATGTTAGTAAATTTATTCGATTAAACTTCACATAGATACATTCTCAAATCAATGAAAAAAGAATGTGCCCATATAAGTTTAAATATAAATTAAATTTTTTTAATGGATTTCATATTAAAAAATTGTACATTTTATATTAAAAAAAGGGGTACATTTTACATATAACAAATTGGTATATTAAAAAATGGGTACATTTAAGATTAAAAAAATTGAAAATTATACGAATGGGTACATTTAAGATTAAAAAATCAAGAATCTTTTTATAAAAAACTAATGGGTACAAACTTATTCTAATTTTTTATTATTTTAGAAATGTTTGAATTCAAAATTAATTAAGAGTTTAATAGAGGTGTGAGTATTAAAATCCTAAATCAATTACTAATTTTTATTTTAAAAAATATGTAATAAACATGTAAATTCATTATCACATTAATGCTAAGGACTTCAATAAAACTAATAAGGTCTCAATCAATGAACATTAGTAACTAAGAATCGGATACTAATTTTTCCTTCTTTTTATATACATATAAAATTGACACACCTACATTTACATTTTCTAAAAAAGTGGGTCTTATCATTGTACGTAGAATTTATTTGTATTAGAAAATATGTCAATAAACCTGTTAGTTTTACGTGTACAAAAAAACGTCGCTCAAAATTATATTACAATGAAGTGAAATAAGTCAACACAAAAAAATAAAGCTAAGTTCATGTTAATAATGGACTAATTATAGTGAGGGATAAGGGAGTAGAAAGTGAAAAATGAATGGATATCGGTTGCGTGGAAAACTTTAATTAGGTGTAAGCCTCCCCTTTAGCCCTACATTATCCTATACTTTCAAATTTATAAACCAAAATGTTAAGGCAAATCAAAATTCTTTGAATTAGTTTATTCAGGTATTGGGTTTGATCATGATGAAAGCTAACATGTAGGATCCTATGTTTTATACTTGTTTAATCCGCCGTGCACCTAAAGTCGGACAATTTGGCATTTTATTCATCTTCGGCGGGTTGGGAAGGAATTGCAAAGTGGCAAACCACATTTTGTGGACATTGGTGGTTGCACATTTGACATGGGACCGTAGTGTCCTTCTGAGAAATCATTGGATATTTACAATGATATTATTACCATGAAGCGCAATTGTGTTATCACAAAAGTTAGTCATAAATCGATATCTCATTCGTTACACACAATAAAATACTATATCCACTAACACTAGTAAAATATCGGTCTACTCGCTCCGTGTTTCATAAGTGTCTATTGATCTCATTAGAGGCTTATTTCGGTGTCCAAAATCTATAGCCACCATGCAGCCACTGATACATGGTCAGTGTTCATAGTCAAGGGTTCTAATGTTATATCCCACACTGCGTATGAATTGGTGTTACAATGAACAGTCCGCAATGCTCCCAAATAATAATCCTATTAATACTATTAGTATTACGGTCTAGTGGTATTCTTCACTTATAAGTGAGAGGTTTTAGATCTGATTATCCCCAAAGGCAAAGTTGAACCACATTATTATGGAAAACACATTGTAAGGCATAACTCAGTCCCACTCCCTTAGTGTAGATATTATCGTTTGCTAAAAAAATCTCATTGATAATTACAAAATTTGCTTTCTATTGTTTTTTTATACATTAAATTGAAGACCGGAGAACCCGATACTCTGAGCGTTTTAACTGTAAGATTTTTATATAAAATACAAAAATCAAAATCTAATGGTTACGACATCTAGAATGCCGGTACTCCGGAGCACCCAATAATTTTTTATAGGACTTTTGGTGTGGTTGTTTTTGCATGCTCTCATAACAACCGTTGGATGAGCAAAGAACAATTAAGAATGAAGGGCTTATCTCCTTACCAAGAGTTGAGCAATGAGAATGCCTCAGCTTCCCATAATTAAAATTTTAAAATAGATATAAGAACAAAAGAATTTTAAAATAGATATAAGAACAAAAGAATTAGTATCTTTCTTTGGTTGGAAAACAAAATAATTGGTTAGATTTTCCAAACTGTTACATTGCCACCGTTGTCGGTGTTACAAATACGAAGGCCATTGATAATATAAAACAGTGCAAGCAATTTTTAGATGGACACCGATTTAAATCCGCGTGCCCAGATTAATGGTGCCCCAAGGCATGTTTTTTTGTAGTGAACATAGCAGCATCACATCAACATCTTCAATTACAACTACGTATCGTATTCACTATATATATCATATTTATATTTATGTGAATCGAATGGAAAACTATTATTAGTAGATCACTGCCACACTACTACATGGTGCTACCAGTCCACTTATACAATATGAGACGACATATCTTCGATTGTTTTCTTGTAGTGAACATAGCAACATCATCATCTTCAATTACAACCACGTATCGTATTCACTATATATATATATATCATATTTATATTCATGTGAATCAAATCGGAAACTCTAATCAAGTAAAGACAATTATTAGTAGATCACCACTGCCACACTACTACATGATGCTACCAGTCCACTTATACAATGTGAGACGACATATCTTCTAGAATATAGTAGCTACACTTGTTCTAACACATGACCAATGTTTAATTACACCAAAAAAATTACTCATTGCAAAGGACCATTTTAAACTTTCCTTTTTCTTTGAATGAAAAGGACCATCTTATTAAATAACTCTAATTGTGCGAGGTTGGCAATGGCAGTCGTATTTGTATATTTTTTTGGTTAGGTGTGGAATTATATTTCAAGTTACGACTTGTATATGGATCTAGATCATATATACCCAACTTATTAATTCTACCAGTAAAGCATCAACCCCCATTAACAATTCGTACTGGGTGATGATATCCACACTCATTTTTACATCTCACGCACTCTTTGTTAATTAATATTCTTTGATCTTCTCTAGTTTATTTGACCCAATAACCAAAATTAAAAATGGTGTGTGGAAGATAAAAAGGAGTGTGTAGATAGCACCACTTTTGGAGTAGCTTTAACTTAGATGCCAATCGACTGGTCAGGTAAGAAGGCACCTCAGATATTCTATGGGCAGCAACAATATTTGTATCTGAAACAAGAAGAACGTCATCCGAATAGTTCAAATTTGGAAGTTCTAGGATTCTAACTTCTATATATGATAATTTGAAGTAGAATCACATTCTTTCTCTTCGTACAAGTTTTGCTATGATAAATAAAACGAACGATTCTTTTACACAAAAGATTCGACCTTCTTTTTGGTTGAAATATTCGACCTTATTCTCTGTCAAATTCTTAATGGATGAGAAAAAGAAATATAATTTTAACGAAAAGCTCCCAATACCATTTATTATAACGAAAAACCATATTTTTACACTAAAAAGTCAATCCTGGTACTATTCATTTTACCCTTTATTTTGTCTTTATCGTTAAAACTCAAAGTTTCCAAACCCTTTTCATTAGTTTTCCTAAAAAGAAAAAGGCTGCCTATTTAAATAAGGAAGTTTTAACGAAACACTTATGGTACTGTTCACATTTAACGAAAACGACATTTTTACTCTAAAAAACCATTCCTGTTACTATTCACTTACAATACCTATTTGTTATTTTGATTAAAACTCAAAGTTTTTAAACCATTTTCATTAGTTTTCCTTTTAAATAATGGGTTACCCTACTCTTGTTAATTCTCGAGTGCTCAAAGTTTATCTTCAAAATAAAACTTTGACAATATACTGAGACAGTAATCAAGGCTCTCATGCATGTATTGAAATTTACTAAGACAATCTCCAAAGGAGATGTCAAATCCTAAATGTAAAGTCATGTAATCAAATTTGAAAGCAGGAGCAAAGACCAACCGATATGTCAATCCTAAGTGAAAAGGTAATGTCAAATAATTTTTAATTATTTTATTATATGGATCCCATTAATGCACCAATTATAAATCTTGAAAATTTATTTTAATTGTTGTAGGCCTATTTAATTGAGCGATCTAAGGTTTAGAGAGAGAAAGGGAGGCCAACCACTTTAGAGAGAAGAGAGATTGATTTAATTGTGATGTGTGTTTGATTCACCCCATTGTGCCTTTATTTATAGTAGTTAGAAGGGTAAATACCTTTCCCTTTATGATTACAACATTTAATAGGTAATCAAATCCT